CGAGAACCACTGACCCGCCCCGCCCGCCACAGCGCCTGTCCTCAGGCACCAGTTCTTCAAGGCCAGTCGTGCAGCACACTCTCAGCTTCCTCCTCCAAGGACAACACCTTACCTCACCTCTCAGAGGAGGAAGCCCGTAAACCTGCAGCCCATGAAGGAGGAGCCGATGTACTCAGCCTGATTGTCAAGGACTCATTCTAGAAAGATGGTTATCACCTTCATGCCCCTACGGCAGTGCCTCCTGGGCAAGGGCTTCAGCTCTCTCATCTGATTTGGCCTCCCCAGCTCCAGGGAGAAGGTTGAGCCAAGGTGCTTGCTCCGTATGTCAGGGCACAGGGTAGAGAAGTAATTCAGAGTTAGAACTTGCCCTGGGCCCCAGACTCCACATCCCTGCACCCACAGGGCACATCAGAGCAGGAACATTTGACTATGGAGAGAAGTCTTTGGCTTTCAGGGTGTTTTACAAATCTGTGCTGAGGGCAAGCTGTGGTAAAGAGTAAAGTGATAGGGAACAGTGTCCAAGATAAAGTTTGCGTGCAAAAATGAGACGTTCGCAGCCTGGAGAGGATGCCGTCCTTGGTGTGGAAAAGGAGGGGAAGGAAGAGAGATTTTTATTGACTTGTATGTGCTTAAAAAGACCTCTGCAAGGAGGAAAACTGGAACGGAGTTGTGATTGCTTGTCTGCGGTGAGGGGACTGGGCATTGGGTGACGGTGGGCAGGCAGAGGACTAGGCACAATTGGGGGGTGGGGAGCACAATCAAAACACAGGCCACCCAGGGAGGCTGTGTGGTTTCTCTGCAACTCTGGCATGGAGATGCTCAAAAAACAGCAGAGCTTGCTGTTCCAGGCGTTTCTACAATTCCCACCTGCAATTCCTTTGACCAGAGGAAGGCCGGCTGCCCTCTCCCATGCTCTGATGCCCCTGCTTTGGGCACCTCTGAGGAATGAGGAGGAGTATTGCATCCCAATTGATGGCAGAGAAACCTTGATCTCACCTCCAGCCACACAGGTGGGAATCCCCTGAGGAATTTCCACGAACATGATTGCCCGGCCACACTCCTGGGGGTTGTAACTCAGTTAATCTGGGGTGGAACTCAGAGGTTGGAGTGGTTTTAGAGCTCCCCAGAGGGTCTGAGTGAGCCAGCGGGGCTGAGAACCACTGGTCTTGAGATAGAAACACTAGATGTGGAATCAGACTCCCTTAGCTGTAGGTGCTGTCAAGATAGCTGAGCCTTGGTTTCCTTGCTTGTGAAATGGGGCCATAATATCAGCCTCCTAGGTGTGGGGCATTGGCAGAACTAAGGTTGGCCCGTGCACTCTGTAGGCTAAGCATGCTCTGGGAAGGTGGGGTGTTCTCATGGGTGTTTTCCTGTGCAGTCTCCTGGTCACACAGGCGTCTTTAGAATCTCTCCTAATCTAAAGACCTATTAGTAGCTTTCTGGGGCCCCTCCCAGGCGCCGTCTGCCTCTTTGCTGAGGTGCCAGAATCTGTTTTGAGTGTGCCTTGGGACAGCTTTACCCTACAGGGCTTCTTCTCACTGACACAGGAGCTCTGATTGTATCCAGCAAAGCTTTTGGGAGAGGATCTAATTGCAGACAACCACCAGCAGATGAAACTGATGGGAAGTTTCATGTCCCCCCCACCCCCATCTTCCCAGCTGCACACCCACCGAAGAGGGCAGGGCCATCTACAGCTGGTGGGGGGCGTGCTGTTAGGGAAGTGTCTTCCTTTGGGGTGGGCGACAGTTACGACTGGATGACTTTATGGCTGCCTCTTCAGGAAGGGGGAGGCTATTTTAACTAGAGGTTTCTAAATCAATTCATTGAAGGCCTGCAAAGACAGTGTCAGGGCGATTTGGGGGCATTAACAGAAGCACCAGTGCGCTGTGAGTCAGCTAATGAATATCTTTTAATCCGCTGAGCTTTAGGGCCTGTGTAAAAGCACCTCTGCACATCACTGCTCCTCCCAGTAGCCCAGGCAACAGGAGGGATCACCCCCTTTCGCAGATGAGAAAATCAAGGCTGGGAGGGCTGAAGGGCCCTGCCCATGCCCACGGGCAGGTGGCAGGAGCTGGACTTGGGCACAGGGTCTTGAGATTCTGGTCAGCCTCCTTCTGCTCCAGAGGGTGCGGGCCTTTGGGTCAGACCCTGGGACATGTCCCATTATGACGACTTTACTTCTGCATTCTCTTCTCGGAAGTAGGGGTCCCCAGGACTGGCTGTGTAATTTGTTGGGTTTGGTACAAAATAAGAAAGCAAGGCACCTGGTTAAAGAGAACTAAGAGCCCTGGCAGGTTAGAGCACCAGGCTGGGCACCCAAGGGCCACCTGTTTGATTTCGGTCATGGTCAAGAGCACATACCTGGGTTGCAGGTTGGAGCCCCAGCTACGTGCGGGGGGGGGGAACCAATCAGTGTGTCTTTCTCACACTGATGTTTCTCTCTCTTTCTCTCCCCCCCCCACAACTCTCTCTAAAAACCAATGGAGAAAATATCAAATATCCTCGGGTGAAGATTAACAACAACAACAAAAAAGAACTACAAATTTTAAGGTGGCAACAGCAGAATGTTAACCCAGTGCAGGCCCCTGGGGACTGCCTGGATCCCTCGCACATGAAGCGGGCCCTGCAGGTAATACCATGAACTTCATAGTCATTGTGAGGACTAAAGTAGCAAAGAGTGAGCTCTTAACACGGTGCATGGTGTACTTTAAAAAAGTATACCTTTAAAGTCACACTTTAAAAACTATTCTTCACCTGTATAGTTTCATTAACCAATGTCACCCCAATAAATTTTAAAATATTATTCTTAAGATGAAAAGACCTATTGGTGCCACATCAGTCATATCGCCAGATGGCCCCTTCTGGCTGCACTGAGCACTCATCCCATTGGTCCTTGACCTGCTGAGTGGCTTGAGCCCATCTCTGCACCCTTCCATCCTTCCTTGAAAGCCAAATGAAATAAAGTCGGTGACCCCGCCTCCCCCAGGTTTTCGGGTCTCAATTGCATTCTCATCATGCCAGACTAGACTAGAAGGTCTGCCATAGGAAGGAGAAAAAAAGCCCAGCTGACAAAATCACCACAATATACCCCACTCCCTTCCCTCCCTGCTCACATTTTAAACACTCCTGCTCACGGCTCGGGGCCCCAGGTGACCCAGAGTTGACTGTGTTATCCACATGTCGAGAGCAAGGGCGGGGGCCGAATGTCTTGGTTCTGGCTCCAGATCTGCTACCAACAGGCAGAGTACCTGGAACCAGTCCTCTCCTCTTGACCTCAGTTGCACTGGTGCCAC